CCTCCTGCCTCAGCCTTCCAAGTAGCTGGGATTACAGGCATGTGCCACCATGCCCAGCTAATTATGTATTTGTAGTAGAGATAGGGTTTCACCATTTGGGCCAGGCTGGTCTCGAACTCCTGACCTCAGGTGATTCACCTGCCTCGGCCTCCCAAAGTACTGGGATTACCAGTCATGAGCCACCGCACTCAGTTAATATACCTTTCTAGAAAAGAAAAAGAAAGAAAGAAAGAAAAAAACCTTTCTCCTACCTTTGTCCCACCTGTCTTCCCAATAAAATCTGTCTTGAGGCAGTGGTGGGCTCCTCTTAGTTCTCTCTGCTCATGCCCCTGGCACGTTACTGCTGGGACTGCCAGGTATGCTTGTGCAGATCCTGTGGTAGCCAAGATGCCCAGCCAAGGGTGACTGTGGGCTAAAGTCCAGTCTGTTCTTCATTCACTGAGCCTGGGGTTCTGGTGTAGGGATTACTGCATCTAGAGGAAAGAGCTATTTTTCTCGGCACAAAGGTGAGCGCGCTTGTTCATAATGTGTCTTAAACGCTGCTTCAGGCCCAAGGAGGTATCTTCTTCTAAATAGCACAGATGTGGATAAGGCAGTGGAGAGTCAAATCACCTAAGTGACTAGGTCTATATGTTTGGAGAGAGAAGAACCTGGACTGGGGATTTCTCACTCAAGGCAAAAGTATGTAACTTTACCCTGTTGATAGACCTCTAGGCAGTGAGGCAGAGTGGAGAGAGTACTGGTTTTCTTTTCTTTTCTTTTTTTTTTTTTTTTTGAGACAGAGTCTTACTCTGTCGCCAGGCTGGAGTGTAGTGGCATGATCTCAGCTCACTGCAACCACCACCTCTCAGGTTCAAGCAATTCTCTGCCTCAGCCTCCCAAGTAGCTGGGATTACAGGCACCTGCCACCACACCTGGCTAATTTTTGTAGTTTTAGTAGAGGCAGGGTTTTACCATCTTGGCCAGACTGGACTTGAACTCCTGATCTCACGATCCACCTGCCATGGCCTCCCAAAATGCTGCGATTACAGACGTGAGCCACTGCCCCTGGCCATTTTTTTTTTCTTACTGAGACAGGGTCTGTTGCCCAGGCTGGAGTACAATGGTGCTGTCTCGGCTCACTGCAACCTGTGCCTCCTAGGCTCAAGCGATTCTCCTGCCTCAGCCCTCCAAGTAGCAGGGACTATACACATGTGCCACCGTGCCTGGCTAATTTTTGTATTTTTTGTAAAGAGGAGGTTTCACCATGTTGCCCAGACTGGTCTCCAACTCCTGGGCTCAAACCATTTGCCCACCTCGACCTCTCAGAGTTCTGAGATTACAGGCATGAGCCACCGCTCCCGGCCAACCCAGCAGTCTTAATTATACAAAATGCAGCTCTATGAGACCAGAACATCCTGTTGGCCTGATAATAGTCAATTTGATGTACCCAAATGTTACTGATAATTTGATCCTTTCCATACTGGTAAACAGGTCATCTTTGGAAAGTCCAGCGGGCCTGAATTTCTGCAGGAAGTATACACAGCCATTACATACCATAATAAGTAAGTCTATTTCAGCATTCTAAATATACACCAAGATGGTTTCATTATCTCCTGGTTTTTCCGAGTCCCCTGGGTGATTCCTCTCAACTATTTTTATAATTCAGAGACTCAGGGGTCAAGGAAATCCATGCCACTTCCATGACTCTGTGTTGAAGATGTATATAACTTTGCCATTAACCAAGACTGAAAGAAGAACATGTCTTCAAGAATCCAGTATAGTTTTGACTTTTCTGGAGGCTTCTATTCTAGTATGATGCAAAGAAGTTGTATTACGTTAATTAAGAAAACACATTTTCTAACTTGGTTTGAGACACTGAAGGAGGCCAGAAGTACAATCCAGCTCTCCTTGCCCTGTGTCCCTGTCTGCTCCACTGGACACCTGGCCCACTGCCTGGCTAGGCTGACCAAAGGAGAAATGGAACACTCATTATCCCACCGGTAAATGGAGTGACAGGATAATGCCTATGCTATTATTCATGTTCCACAGGGAAGGAGGGACATCAGCACAATGTCAGACAGAACTGGGTTTGATCCTGGCCTGATCACCTGGGCCTATTTATTTAAATCCTCCATTTAAGCACATTCTGGGCTTGGGATGAGGATTAAGTGAGGTCATGTACATGAAACCCTTGTAATTCATGAAGCATCTAGGGCTTCACAATTCAGTAAAATCGGGTTCCTTTTCCTTCCTGCATCATTCATTTGCTTCTACTCTTTGGTGAGTGCAGCCAGGTGCGAGGCTCTCTTCCTTGGGTAGAGATGGAAAAGGAGGTCACAGCAGGATTCCAAATCTTACCCTTTCTTCAAATTAAGTTTTTGGGGTTTTCCATTGTGTGGGGGAGGTGTTTTTTGTTTTTTGTTTTCCTGACAAAGCCTTTAGTTCATGAACAGTTTTGTGTAAGGGAAATGTATCTAATAACATAAGCGTGGTCTCCGGGACTTCCAGCATCAGAGCAGAGTAATGTAAAATGAGAAACAAAGACCCAGGCAAGTTCTGAGGGGCAAAGGGGCTGTGGCGTCTTATAATCAGAGAAGTCATCATTCTTGCTAAAAGTTATTTGTGTATAATGTGCTTTTGAAACAGGTCTCCTGACTTTTATGAAGAAGTGAAAATTAAGCTCCCTGCTAAGCTCACAGTAAATCACCACCTCCTGTTCACCTTCTACCATATCAGCTGTCAGCAGAAGCAAGGAGGCTCCGTGGAAACTCTCCTGGGATATTCAGTGAGTTGTTTCCAGCCGGCTGACTCACACTGCAGTTGTTGGTATATCTGAGGTCCCTGCAGAGATAAACAACCAAATTCTATTCACTTTTTTCCTGTCAGAAGTAGCAAAACATGCTAAGCCAAATTATAGCAGGAGGCAGAAGTGATTTGCCTTAGCAAATGTCAGATTTCAGAAATGGAAAGCTAGCGGGTGATAGATATTGAAAAAATACTCATTTGTTTTTTAAAAAGCATTGCAGTGTTCACTATTTCCAAATGTAATATCCTCGCTTCACATATAGAACTAGCTCTGTCCTCCAAGAAGAAACAGTTATTTCCTTAAAAAATATAAAAGGTAAAATCAACATTGATGTTCAGACACACACAAACATTGGCTATGGAGAAAAATGCTACTGCTTTGGCTCTGAAAGCAGTAAATCATCAATACTACCATCTCAGGAGCTCTCGGGGATTTAATGCAAAGAACTGGACAGAAATTACTGCCAAAAAGAGTCCTGGTCAATATCTAATCATTGTTTAGTTGCATTTGATTATTGTGAGCTAGATAAATTGCCAGAATTATATGCTATAATAAATACCACTTTATTATTTACATCATCTGTTTCAGTGGCTGCCAATTCTCTTAAATGAACGTCTTCAAACTGGATCGTACTGTCTCCCAGTTGCCTTGGAAAAATTGCCACCCAACTACTCCATGCATTCTGCTGAGGTAATTGCCAGGCTGGCTGTCAGCTGTTTCTCTTCCAGCTGTGGTCTTGGACCACCTTCCCAGAACCACTTCTCATTCCTATGTGACCAGACGTGCTCATCATGTTCTCTGGAGCACACTGTGTTTTCAGACAGTGCATTGTTCTGATAGGATGGTAGGAATAATTGACTATGAAACCTCATTCTTTTAAATGCCACCAAATCAAAATGTTTAGTAGATGCAGCCTACATCCAAGGCAGCATTACCTTGCATTATCTATCACAGAGGGATTCCCAGAATAATGTATTATAGAAGAGGAAGCAAACTGAGGCCAATTGTAATAAACAATTGCGCCCATCAAGAATCCTTAAAAAGGTTCCCAGGCCAGATTCTAGCTGTTTCTTTGTTGGGTCAGTTGTCACAGCCCTCAGGTGGATACCAAGGTATTTATTCCCCTAACAATCCCAATGCCAATAGCCTTTCCCACTTCCTGTTTCTGGCACTTCCTCTCGCCCATCCACTCAGCCGCAGTGCACGCACTTAAAGGAAGCCCTGGGCGGATCACCTGAGGTTAAGATTTCAAGACCAGCCTAGTCAACGTGGTGAAACCCCATCTCTACTAAAAATACAAAAATTAGCCAGGCCTGGTGCTGGATGCCTATAATCCCAGCACTTTGGGAGGCCGAGGTGGGATGATCACTTTAGGTCAGGAGTTCAAGACCAGCCTGGCCAACATGGTGAAACTCCATCTCTGCTAAAATACAAAAAGATTTAGCTGGGCATGGTGGCAGGTGCCTGTAGTCCCAGCTACTCGGGAGGCTGAGGCAGAATTGCTTTAATCCAGGAAGTGGAGGTTGCGGTGAGCTGAGATCATACCACTGCACTGCAGCCTGGGCAACAGAGCAGGGGACTGTCCACCCTGACTGCACCAGCTGTCACACTGCTGTCACACTTCTCAGTTCCTTGCGTAGGTTGACATCAATAAGTATTATTTGGAAGTAAATCTCCGACATCGTATTTCATGTTAGTCTGCAAATTTAAAGATAAAGGCTTTGTTTTTAACTATCACAATACCATTGTCATACTTCAAAATTAACTGTCATTTCTTAGTATCATTAAATATTCAGTCACTGATCAAATTTTCAATTATCCCACTAACAATAGATTTTCAGTGCTTGCTTTTTAAACTTGGAATCCAAAGTCAGCTTTCTTCTCTGTTCTTTCACCATCCACCGTCTCACTTGGGGCTGTTTTCCTCTTATTTTGCTTTTTCCCTGGAGAGAGAAACATCTTCTGCCCTGGGCGCCAGGCACATGCCTGGTGGACCAACACTTGTCTCCTCAGAGCCATCTAAGGGGCAATCCGAGTATGTCCGCAGACATTTCCTGATTGGTCTTTCTGATTTCAACGTCAACACCTTTCAGTAGCCCTCAAAACCACCTCATCATCACGTGGCACACTCTAATTTGTTAGAACTCCCAGTTATCTTCTTAAGCTGTAGGAAAGACCTGAGTGTTGGAGACAGACAAACTTGCATCTAGATTCTGCCACTCCCTAGCTGTGTGAACATGGTGAGTTGCTTACCCTAAGTCTCAAAGATGAAACTGAGCCCATATCTGCCTATAACGGTGCTGTAAGAGTTAAGTGAGGTAATGCGTGCCAAACAACAAATTCAATTCCTGAGTAAACATTAGTTCCTTTTTCTTACTTGCCCTGTGCTGTGTTTATAGACTTACCCTTAGCCTCTCCTAGTGTCCTTTAAACCTTCACTGTCTGATAAGATAGCTACTAGCTACATGTGGCTATTGAGAACTTGAAATATGGCTAGTTCAAACAGAGATGTGCCATAAGTAAAATATGCACCAGATTTCAAAAACTTAGTAGGGAAAAAACGTGAAATGTTGTACTAGTAATTTTTTACATTGATTACCTATTGAAACAATCTTTAGGCTATATTAGTTAAATGAAATATAATTACTTTCACATGTTCATTTTTTTTTTGAGATAGGCTCTCACTCTGTCACTCAGGCTGGAGTGTAGTGGTGTGATCACAGCTCACTGAATCTTGAACTCATAGGCTCAAGCAATCCTCTTACCTCAGCCTCTTTCTCTCCTTAGTAGCTGGGACTACAAGCGAGCACCACCACGTCTGGCTAATTTTTTTTTTTTTTTTTACAGTAGAGACAGGGTCTTGCTATGCTGCTTATGCTGGTCTCAAACTCCTGGTCTCATGTGATCCTCCCGCCTGGGACTCCCCAAAGTGCTGGAATTATAGGTGTAAGCCACCATGCCTAGTCCCTTTTGACTATTTAAATGTGGCTACTAGATGACTTTTTTTTTTTTTTTTTTTTTTTGAGACAGAGTCTCGGTTGCCCAGGCTGGAGTTCAGTGGCGCCATCTCGGCTTACTGCAACCTCCACCTCCCGGGTTCAAGTGATCCTGCTGCCTCAGCCTTCCAAGCAGCTGGGACTACAGGTGCACGCCACCATGCCCAGCTAAGTTTTGTATTTTTAGTAGAGATAGGGTTTCACCATATTGGCCAGGCTGGTCTTGAATTCCTGACCTCATGATCGACCCGCCTCAGCCTCCCAAAGTGTTAGGACTACAGGCGTGAGCCATGGCACCCGGCCTAGATGACTTTAAATTACATGAATAGCTCACATTATATTTCCACTGAACAGTGCAATTTTAGATCACAGATAGCAAACTGAAGTGCCCACAGGATCCTGATGAGTAACATCAATGAATGCCTCATTCTGGTGGCATCTGTTCATTCTGGAGATTGTCTCTGCCCCATCTAAAGATCACAGCTGTTCCTTCACTCTGCAGATGGGTGCCATGCTAGGATCTAAGGCCAATTTCTTCGTATCTTCCAGTACTCAAATGAAGTTAGAAAAGCAGTCTTTTATAGGAAATTTTCAGGCTTTCAAATATTGGCTTTCAAATATTTCAGGCTTTCAACTAATTTTTAAAAGTTCTTAATACTTCAAAGAGAACTCGGGTGTGGGCTAGAACTTACTTTGGGCCCCAGCTTGTGCCGGCTTCAGATAGCTTTAAATGTTTCCAGCCCTTGTACACACCTACCTTCCATTACAATGAAAGACAGGCAAACCTAGGCGAGGCCCTCCTCACTCAGCACTGCAGGGCATCTTTAAAGGAATGCAATTGCGATGGGAATTTAAGGCAAGGAGCTGTCTCTAAGGCCTGCAATGGTATTGATATGTAAACAGTATAAAACAGTCACTTTGAGTAATTAGAGCAGGAGCCAAGCAGGCCTAGAAACATGTTGGAAACACTTGGAAAAATTTTGTTAAAAGGGGAAGTAATGTCGGGTACTCAAAAGTATTAAAATTTCATGTCTTATAAAGCTATTCTATACTTTGTCCTGACAGTCCTGATGCATGGGGAAATTGCTGGGATCTTAGTTTATTTCAATTCCTAGAATCCAGAATTAGCATGCTGGTTTGGAACTTAGAGGCAGATCACACAGTTCAACCCCTCCTTGTAGTATGAGAACAGAACACTAAGGCCCAGAAGGGCTCACGCCTGTAGTCCCAACATTTTGGGAGGCTGAGGCAGGTGGATCACTGAGCCCAGGAGCTTGAGACCAGCCTGAGCAACATGGTGAAACCCCATTTCTACAAAAAAACAGAAAAATTAGCCAGGAGTGGTGGTGTGTGCCGGTAGTCCCAGCTACTCCAGAGGCTTAGATGGGAGGATCATTTGAGCAGGAGGTCGAGGCTGCAGTGAGCTGTGATTGCACCTCTGTACTTCAGCCAGGTGGCAGAGTGAGACCCTGTCTCAAAATGAATGAATGAATGAATGAATAATAACTAGTTTTGTGTAGAATTGAACTTCAATCCCGGGCTTCTGACTCCAAGACCAGTTATGTTAGTTTTTGAGAGAGTTTGGTATAACCCTGACATTCCCAGTCAAGTTGCTCTGCATTGCTTGTTAGTAATCAGAAAAGGGAATTAGATTGCTAATTATGTTTTTCTTTTCTTTAACACAGAAAGTCCCCTTACAGAATCCTCCCATTAAGTGGGCTGAAGGACATAAGGGAGTATTTAATATAGAAGTGCAAGCTGTTTCTTCTGTGCATACCCAGGTAAGAAAAGTCAAGGTTAATAATGAAGGTAAAGGTGCAGCAGAGGAGCCTTTGAAGGACAGGCCGATAAAAAATCAATGAAAATCCTTGTCTACAGATAAGTAAAAAACAATCCTGTAGTTCTTTGTGGGGACATGCAAATCTGTTTAGGTTTCATTTGTCATTGGAATAGAAAGACCTTACAAAACCACTGAGCACAGAAAGGAAAGAACCTCGTACCTGCACTGTTGCTTGAGAAACTTTGCAGGGAGACTTGATTTGAAACTCTCATCTGCTGTTCTCTCTTTTCCCTTTGTAATTCTGCCACTTTACCAGCCTTTAAAAAGAAACTCCATTCTCCCTCCTTTGCCTGCCACTGTCTGAGTTCTGCATACTTACCTGGTATGCCGACCTGCTTACAGAACATGTCAGAGCCTAAATTATTTTTTCTTTAGCTAATCATTATTGAAAGGTCCAACCTTGTGCACCTCATTCTACAAAGAAGTTCATAACCTCACTCTAAAACATCATATCTTAGGACTTCTGCTTTGAAACCTGGGTAAGAGGTGCTACCCATAAAGAGCTATTCGGTTGTGTTTATGAGTCCACTGGTGAACATTGATGGGATAAAACCCCATGAGCCCTGCCTTCTGCCCTCCCAGGACAACCACCTGGAGAAGTTCTTCACCCTCTGCCACTCCCTGGAGAGCCAGGTGACCTTCCCCATCCGCGTGCTGGATCAGAAGATCAGCGAGACGGCACTGGAGCACGAGCTGAAGCTCAGCATCATCTGCCTGAACTCCTCCCGCCTGGAGCCGCTCGTGCTCTTCCTGCACCTGGTGCTGGACAAGCTCTTCCAGCTGTCTGTGCAGCCCATGGTCATCGCTGGCCAGACAGGTATGAACCTGCAGGGCTGGGCTGGGAGGAGGCAGGGGCAAGCAGGCATTGCCTTCTTTAATGAATCCTGATCTTCCAGAAATCCAGAGACAATGTGTTCTTCCTTTCCACTGATGACATGTGTTCAAGGGAGGCCAAGTCTTGTGCTATTTTTCTTTTAGACTCTCTGCATATTGGAAAGAAAAAGAAACATTAAAATAGCGTTCTTAATATTATAGTTTTTTGTAAACTTTATTAAATGAGTATAGGCAGTCTTTCAAATTCCATTTCTGGTCATTGATAAATTTATTTTCCCTTTAAGATATTTTTGTTTTCTTGACTAACAGGAAATGGAACATTTTAAAGTAAGACAACCTATGTTAAATGGAGGGAAGGGTCAATTAAACAGAATGCAATCAATTGTTAAAGTTAAGACATAAACTCACTATTTTAAAGCGTATAGCTCAGTGGTTTTCAGCATTTCCACAAGGTTGTGCAATGATCGCTATGATCTACTTTCATAACATTTTCATCAGCTCCAAATAAAGCCCCATATCCTTTCTCAGTCATTGCCTGTTCATCCCTCCCCGAGAACTCATCCATTCTCTCTCTTACAGTCTATTTTAAATGCTTGCTTTTGGCCAGGCACGGTGGCTCACACCTGTAATCCCAGCACTTTGGGAAACCCAGGTGGGTGGATCACGAGATCAGGAGATCAAGACCATCCTGGCTAACACAGTGAAACCCCGTCTCTGCTAAAGATACAAAATATTAGTCGAGTGTGGTGGCGCACACCTGTAGTCCCAGCTACTAGGGAGGCTGAGGCAGTAGAGCTGCTTGAACCCAGGAGGTGGAGGTTGCAGTGAGCCGAGATCATGCCACGGCACTCCAGCCTAGGCGACAGAGCAAGACTCTGCCTCAAAAAAAAGCTTACTTTTAATAAAGTAACACTAAATACAATGTGTACATTTTCCCTTGGAAATAATCTCAAAAGCTTATACTGGAGGCAAGACCAGGGTCCAGTGGCTGTCCTAACTCCTCCAGGGTAGACTGGCTGGTGTAGAGCGTCTTTATTTGCCACCATTTTCCGCTGTGCCTGTATAGCTCTTTGCTCTCCGGTCCAGCCGACGTCTTTTGGGTGCCATCCATATGCCCAGTGCTGTACTAAAACTAACAAGCTTTGTGACAATAAGAGCACCTCAGACCTCAGAGGATTTATAATATGGCAAAGAGCCAGCAGCCCAGGACAAAAGTCCTAAAGGGACACAGCTAAATTTTACAGTGGTGGCGGGAGGGTGATATCAAAGGAGAGAGGGAGAAAACATCCATCTGGGAGGACGCAAAGGTCCACGTGAAGAGAGGGCCTTGAAGAAGGGTTAGAGTGGAAACAGACAAATAGGGGTAAGGAGATGAGAGTGGCACAGCAGAGAACCACGGAAGTGGGGGATGTCAGGAAGAAAGTCAATAGCACGGTTGGTGGTAGAAGGTGAGCCCGTGTGGAAGTGGGCTGCAACAATGAAGTGAGGGAGCTTTTGGAGCCAGGGACGAGCATGTCCTCTTATCTCTCACTCTGCTTTGCACCCCGAAATGCATCTTTTGTGGTTCCACAGATCAGACGTCCTGCGTTGGAGGCTAACTTTTCATCCGTGTAGCAGTTGCCTCTCCAACTAGATTCTTGCAGAGCTCTGCCCTCCCTCGATTGCTTCCTGTGCCCCCACATATGTGGCACACTGCTTTGTATGTTTCAGCTACTTAATACAGACTTGTTCACTGAACAAAATATTTATATGTTTTGAGCTGTTTCTCCATTGTAAGTTGCCACCTTGTGGTGTGGGGACCACAGGGTGTTGGCACAGGCAGAGTGAGTGGAGGCAGCTGGTCTACAAGCATTTATTCACAACCTATTCTGTGTCTATCCAGTGGAAGGCATGGTGGGGCACAAAAAATATGAGAAATGCACCTTGCATGGGAAGGATTCCACCTTTCACAGAGAGACAGTTTACCAGCAGAAACAGCTGGAGAATCACGTCGCTCAGTTTCACTTGAGCCTTGTATTGTGTGGAGTCAGACGACTTCATGGAGGATGTGGGATCTGCCCTGAGATTCACAGGGTTGGTGTGACTTTGTGGATGGGAATGAGGAGGGCTTTCTAGGTGAGGACAACAGCATGAGCAAAGTCTAAGACATAAGAGAGCAGACATGATGAGACAATACAATGACTGCCTCATTTTAAGGGAAGTTGAATCTGAGCCAAACAGGGTACAAGGTTGAATAAGTAGACTGGACCCAAACTACGGAGGCTTGGGGCAGCAGAACGAGAGGGTCTATGCAGTAAATCAAATGTGTGTGGGCCCACTGTGGGAATGACTTGGTATGCATACGGTTTCAGGTTAATCTGTAGAAGAATCAGGGTTACACAGCACATCCCAAACACAGTGTGCACAGCAGTCACGTGGGCATCTTGTAACGATGCAGAGCCTGATGAATACGCCCCTTAGGGTGGGGCCTGAGAGTCTGCATTTCTAAGTAAGCAACCAGGTGATAGCGGTCATGTCAGTCTGCAGCTCCCACCGAGTAGCGTCAGTTTACAACATGGCTTAGAGAGGGAGGACGTCAGGACGGTCTTAGTCTTTGTCGTTGAAAACCATCGATGCTACTCAGTGGCAGGAGGAGGAAGGACAAAGGAGGGAATGTGGAGGCATCTGTGGTACTAGAGCCAGCGTGCCAGAGCTCACCAAAACCATTTACCCTTCCCGGGCCTAGTTGTGTTGGTCAGCGGTCGGGACTCATTGTCACCGTCCTGGAGAAACTTCTACCTCAGGTCCCTTAAGGACCAGCTGTGGGGCCACCCATTTTTCTCTTGATTCCTCAGCCAACTTCTCCCAGTTTGCCTTCGAGTCCGTGGTGGCCATCGCCAACAGTCTGCACAACAGCAAGGACCTGAGCAAGGACCAGCACGGGAGGAACTGCCTGCTGGCTTCCTATGTGCACTACGTCTTCCGCCTGCCGGAGCCACAAAGGGACATGCCCAAGTCAGGTACAGTTGCCCTGAGTGTGGGACTCTGGCGGGCAAGGCATCGCCACCTCCACCCCACTGCAGTGGAATCCAAAATAAAATATGCTGTGCTGGGTGCAGTGGCTCACATCTGCAATCCTAGCACTTGAGGAGGCTGAGAGGGGAGGATCACTTGGAGCCAGAAGTTGGAGACCAGCCCAGGGAACATAAAGAGACCCTGTCTCTACAAAAAAAATATGTAAAAATGAGCAGAGTGTGGTGGCACATACCTGTAGTCCCAGCTACTTGGGAGGCTGAGGCAAGAGGATCACTTGAACCTGGGAGGCAGAAGTTGCAATGAACTGAGATTGGGCCACTGCACTCAGCCTAGGGGGCAAAGTGAGACCCTGTCTAAAAAAAAAAAAAAAGTAATTTCTCATAGACTCCCATAACCACTTTTGAAAACATGTCAACACTCAAGGACGAAAAACAGCTGCATACATCATAGACAGTAATCCTCACAAGGTTCAGAGGACTCTGGGTTTTTGGATCTGAGGAAACTTCACTGCATGAATTGTGAAGTTGTCATTTAAATGTTGATAAATTAAAAATATCCACATTTGTAGCTTCTCATGAGAAATCAGAAGCTCTAGCAACCCTGGGGTCCATTTCCCCACGGAGGTAATGGACTGGAGCCAGTAGTAGCCCCTGCCTTTGTGTAAGGCATGTGTCAGCTGTTTCCCATAATCCCCACCACTCCTTGTGCCTCACGCCCCATCTACTTCTCTCCAAAAGATTGCCTCCCTGCCCCAACCAGCATTTGCTAAGAAGACCCTAATTCCAAAGCCTAATCCAGTGGGTTTTCATGTACCCTAACCCTCTTCAGTTCCTTCTTAAACTCAGTAAGTAATTCTGTTCCCCTGTCTGTTGACATGTCTATACCTGGTGGGGTGCAGGTGCTCCCACTGCCGTCCCCGACCCCCGCTATCACACGTATGGACGCACATCAGCTGCTGCTGTGAGTTCGAAGCTGCTGCAGGCCCGGGTAATGAGCAGCAGTAACCCGGACCTTGCGGGGACACACTCCGCAGCAGACGAAGAAGTGAAGAACATCATGTCTTCAAAGGTAGGAAAGATGTCAAACTCTGGAAGGGGACACAGGCTTTTTTATTTGTTTAACTAAAACTTGGAGAAATAACACAAAAGCAACTGTTACTGCTGCCCACCGTGCTGGTCAGATGCTTTAATGCTCAGCTTTGGAGTGATTAGTGTTCTTTATTCTGACAGATGTATCAGCAAGATGAGCATTTGAGGATTTGCTCAGAACTACTTAACTTGGGTAGCAAAGTTTTAGAGCATCAGGGGTTTAGCCACATGGATTCAGTAAATACCATGCATTTTATTTTCAAGGAAAAAAAGTAGCTTTAACTTTTCTTGATACCTAGAAAGGTTGCCTTTAACTTTTTGTTTTTTTAAATATCTACCTCTTATGTTCATTAACATCCACAGATTATCTCACAAAAAAAAATCCATAGGAGTGGCTGGGCACGGTGGCTCACTCTTGTAATCCCAGCACTTTGGGAGGCCAAGGCAGGCAGATTACTTGAGGCCAGGAGTTTGAGACCAGCCTGGACAACATGGTGAAACCCCATCTCTACTAAAAATACAAAAAATTAGTCAAGTGTGGTGGTAGGCACCTGTATTCCCAACTACTCAGGAGGCTGAGGCAGGAGAATCGCTTGAACATGGGAGGCAGAGGTTGAAATGAGCCAAGATTGCACCATTGCACTCCAGCTAGGGCTACAAGACTCCATTTAAAACAAAAACAAAAAATCCCAAGGAGCAATGCCAAATTTTAGAAACAAATAAAAACTGACATCCTGAGAGGGTTGGTGGCTTGCCCTGTATTGTTTTCCCCTATGTGAATTCTTTATTTTTTTCTTGGTGAAGTTTTGCTTTCAGAACAGTTTTAGACTTACAGAATTATATACCCTATACCCAGTTTCCCCATTATTGATATTTTACATTATAATGGTACTTTGGACACAATTCATGAACCAATATTCATGGAATATCATTCATTAAATTCATCTTTATTCACATTTTCTCAGTTTTTCTCCAATGTCCTCTTTCTGTCCCAGGATGCACTCAGGAAGCCACATTACATTTTGTAGTCCTGTCTCCATACGCTGTTGCTGGGAACAATTTCTTATGCTTTCTTTGTTCTTTATGACCTTGGCAGTTTTGAGGAGTAATGGTCAGGTATTTTGTAGATTGTCTTTCATGAGGAATTTTTTAAAGATTAGGATATTATTCACATACCATAAAATTCACCCTTTCAAAGTATACAATTCAGTGGTTTTTAGTCTACTCACAAAGCTACCACAATGAATTCTTAGCCGGAATTTTTTCTCCAGTGATCTGTAGCCTCAGGGCAGCTGAGCCATTACAGTAATATCATTTCCCCTGATTAAGAGAAATCAGAATCTCTAGGTTTCGACACAGACAGTTTCACCCTTACAAATTCCACCCACTTGATGCAGTGTGGCATGAGGAAGGGAATCTGGAGACCAGGGTTTGGAACTGGGTGCCGATACTGCCCTGCCGTGTGGTCACGTGGGCAAGTCATTTAACTGTGCTGGGCCTCATGTCCTCATCTCTGCAGAGGTTCTGACCCCTGGATGAACTTAAGAACCATCTCCCCTGGGTCTTTTCAAAACACTGGATTCACCCCCTGAGATGCTGATTATCTATAGTTTGAGCCATCGGGAATTACTCATATTCTCTCCTTTTTGACTTAGAAAAATCAGTGCAGAGATGTGCTGGAGCGAGCTCGTACCTGTTCCCAAAAGCTGATGGCTTAGTTTTCTAGAATTTTTTGAGCCAGTTTTGAAACAGTCATTGTTAAAATTAAATTGTATAAACTTAAAATTAAATAAGTTATGTTAAAAACAAAGGCAATCTGAATGCAATGTGGTACGCTAGATTGGATCCTGGAGCAGAAACAGGACACGAGGGCAAAAACTGGTGAAATTCGAACCGTTCATGGCTTAGTTAATAGTAACACGTCATTAATTTGCCAAATTAATTTGCCAAAATTAATTTCTTAGTTTTGACAAATGTACCTTACTATAAAAGATGGTAACATTAAGAGAAATAGAATGAAGGCATATAAGAACTCTCCCTACTACCTTTGCAGCTTCTTTGTAAGTCTAATAATAACTATATAAATAATTATTCCAAAATTAAAAGCTCACTTTAAAAAGATAAACTTAGTCCCTTCCTAATAATTTCACTATGCACTACTATATCTAAGTTCTTGGTTCTTTATGTCTACTGTATCTGTGTGGTGGAAATACTATATAACAGTTTGCCACCACGCATGTCTCCCTAACTCTGCACTTCCATGACTTCATGTTGGTAGATTGAAATCAGCTATGATGAAAGTATTTATGGCACAGAAATGGGCAAATGCTACAAATTATCCCCACCCCCGCCGACAACTGGTTGGTAAGCCTTTGCCAGCACACCAGGCAGGGCTCAGCCTCGTGTTGAAGGCTCCTTCAGCAATACCACTTTCTGATCACCCAGGTGAGAAGTGGTCTGCAGCTATTATTGACACCGTGGATCTTTATATTTTTCTTTAATAAAAATGAAAATATTAAATTTTTATGTGGACAGGGTTAACAATTTTCTAATTATTTTGTAGCCTGGGGAGAAAATGTCTAATTATCTAATGACCCCTCCACTTCCCTTCAGAGGTAGTTTTGACAATGTATTGGTGTTTAGTAGACAGTATGGTGTAGTACCATATTCAACCACAGAGAGACACTGTTCCCACACATTTTTGCCTGCTCTTCCCCTGAAGTCACAGACTGCTAGAATGTTGGAAGGGACTAGTCAGCACCCCAGATTCTTAAATAGTTTTTAACTGTCGGTTGCTACACATAAATTATTAACAGTGATTGTCTCAAGAGCAAGTAGAATTAGGTGTAACTTCACCGTCTTTGCTTTGTTTTATATTTACTCTTCGCAATTGTTTTACCTTTGTAACCGGGGGGAAAAAGAAATGTGTGAGAAATGAATTCTGAGGTTGTGATTTCCAAGCGTCTGGCTTACCTTTCCATGGTTGGTTGACTGGTAAGCCATGGTTTATGTGTTTTAGATCGCCGACCGCAGCTGCAGCCGAATGTCTTACTATTGCTCTGGCAATAATGATGTTCCAAGTTCAACCACAGCCCCAAGGCCAGCCAGCAAAAAGGTACTGAAGGGCAATGCGAGGATAATCATGGGATAAGAACAGAAGGATTTCTGGCCAGGTGCGGTGGCTCACAGCTGTAACCCCAGTACTGAGGGAAGCCAAGGCGGGCAGATCAGGAGCTCAGGAGCGTGAGACCAGCCTGACTAACACGGTGAAACCTAGTCTCTACTAAAAATACAAAATTTAGCCAGGCGTGGTAGAGGGCACCTATAATCCCAGCTACTCAGGAGGCTGAGGCAGGAGAATTGCTTGAACCCAGGAGTCAGAGGTTGCAGTGAACCGAGATCAAGCCATTGTACTCCAGCCTGGGTGACAGCGTGAGACTATGAGTCAAAATATATATATATATATATATATAGGGATTCCCTCATGCCCTCACACTGTGCTTGAAAATACTCAAAGTACTCCCCTGCCTGTTCCTGCCATGCTAACCACACACACACACACACACCCCACACACACTTTTGCAGCCCTATCCTTTACCCTGCATTTGACCACCTAACTGCCCATTAACTCAGTGTTTCTCCCACTTTTCCCATGCATCAGAATTACCTAGAAGCCTTGTTAAAACTTAATGCTGGACCCTACCCACTGAGTTTCTGATTCAATAGATCTGAGCTGGAGGCTCAAGAATTTGCATTTCTAACAAGCTCTCAGCTGATGCTGGTCCAGGGACCATACTCTGAAAACCACTGCATTAGCCTCCTTTTAGTAGAGGGAAAGCTGGGTCAATTCATCCTTGACAAAAGTGAATGGCAATAATTAGGTACCATTTGTTTCGATACTATGTAAAGTAATATGAAATGCTTCCTCATAATTCTCCACAATCAGCCTTACCTATTAGTTCAGAAACTTTAAAAGCTCTTAAACTGCTTACCAGGATTTTTCAAGCCAACAAAATTCCCCAATCATAGTCACAGCCTGTGTGGTCTGAGCCATGGGTAGGGGCGGGGGGAAAGCTGTGTGTCCAAAGTTGCCTCTGTTCTAAGCACCCAAGAGCCTCACCATTATAGTAGCTACTTAAGTTTTTAGTGTCTTTGAAGACCTGTATTAAAATGTAAATATGGCGGGGCATGGTGGCTCATACCTGTAATCCCAGCACTTCGGGAGGCCTAGGCCAGTGAATCACCTGAGGTCAGGAGTTCAAGATAAGCCTGGCCAACATGGTGAAACCCCATCTCTACTAAAGATACAAAAATTAGCCGGGTGTGGTGGCAGGCACCTGTAATCCCAGCTACTCAGGACACTAAAGCAGGAGAATCACTTGAACATGGGAGGCAGAAGCTGCAGTGAGCTGAGATCATGCCACTACATTCCAGCCTGGGTGACAGAATGAGACTCCATCTCAAAAAAAGAAAAAAAAAAATGTAAATATGCTAATTGCAAAGAATAACACAGGAAACCATTTGCAAGAGCTAACATTATAGGGAAGTATTTATTATACAGGCAAGGAGGGAACGAGCGTCCCCAAGACTCCCTTTGGACGGGATGAGGGAAAGATCAAGTGTGGGAGGGCCAGGGCTTGGTGCTCCACACTCTGCAGTAATCCGGGCACCATATGTCTAGTGAGAGGTAGCGGGATTTAACTATAAAAGGAAAAGTGAAAGAAGATATGGTTAGGCTAAGAACAAATGTGTCCACTTTCTCTAAAATTTAGCATTAGGCTGTCACAGGCCCTATGCAGTAACTGGTTATAAGTATTTTACCATTGTCCTTTCCTAAAAACCATTATTGGCCTACAGCCTGACTTCTTTAACCCATGTCCTGTTTGGTTTTGCAGTTGCCATGCTTTGACCTGAAATGCCCAGAATAGGGACATTTTATTTCAAAGGGAAGTTTGGCCAATATGTTTCCTTTATAGCTGAGCAAACAGGGTTTTGCTGCTTGGCTATTTTAGATAACCTCGGAGCAAGGTGTTCGTGTAGTAATGCTCCCCAGAAAGCAGCATAAATGACGTTAAGAAGCAGCTTATCCTTTTCTAATCTCTTCTTGTCATAAGGCTCTGGCAGCCAAACTGACCTATTTTCTAGAGGCTACCTTTGAATCTAGGGTTGCATGTCTTTCCTATAATGAGAAGATCAAGGTGTAGCCCAGTTATATCATGTGCACAGTTAGACCACCTGCTAGATTAAAACTCAACCCCACACCTCTCTCAAGTGAGAGCGCTTCACTTAAGAGTGCCGACAGCAAACAAATGTATTAACGTGTATTAAAATTATTTAGGTTCGACCTCACAAAATGAAGTGAAACCAACCACCTGATAAGCTGAAACACCTAAGCATTCTCCGTTCATCACCCCTAACCTACGGGGGATCTAACTAGCTAAAATACCCAAGCATGTATACAGAGACCTTCCCTTTGTCACCTTTTAGTTTAGCTAAGTAGCTCTCAAATTTTAATGTGCACAGGAATTAGTACACTGAGTTGCGTGCATACTGTATTCTGAGGGTAATTTTGTTTTTTTGTTTTTTTTTTTTTGAGATGGAATCTCTCACTCACTGTGTCGCCCAGGCTGGAGTGCCGTGGTGCAATCTCAGCTCACTGCAATCCCTGCATCCTGGGTTTAAGCGATTCTCCTGCCTCAGCCTCCAGAGTAGATGAGATCACAAGCATGCACCACCACGCTCGACTTATTTTTGTATTTTTAGTAGAGATGGAGTTTCACCATGTTGGCCAGGCTAGGCTCAAACTCCTGACCTCATGTAATCTGCCCTCCTCAGCTTCCCAAAGTGCTGGGATTACAGGCATGAGTCAACACACCCAGCCCTCTGTGGGTAATATAAACGATTGTCAAGAGCAATGTTTGCTGTAATCAGGTTTTGCTTTAGGTGTTGACTTTAAAACTTAATTTGCAAATAAGGATAAGATATTAGGGTGTTCAAATAGTTTTAGCTTTCTTATTCACTTTCTTACCCAGATAAAAAATGAGTTTATCAATGTTTATTCTAGGTTTTGTGGGCCTAAGATGAATGAAAACCACAGAAAATTTTTGGACATCATTTTTTGGCATTAATTAGGGTGACCGACCAACTGTTCTGATTTGCCTAGGACCGAGGGAGTCCCCAAGATGTACGACTTTCTATTTTAAGACCAGGACATTATCAGGCAAACTGTAATGGACTGGTTGCCCTACCTTTCGTCTTAAACTTCTTCCCCACTAAAATGATTGTCAGGAACATGAACACATAGCTAGATGTGCTGGAGAATGGGAAAGGTGTAAGTCACCATGTGCCTCCATTTGCTACCAAGCAGTAGATGACTTGAAGGGAAGTGAAGACACAAAGTGGAGCTGGGGGACTTTTCAAGCATCTGACCCTGGGACATCGAAATTTAGAAGTTGTGAGTTAAGGCTGATACCACTATGCCTTTCAGAGCACAAGATCCACTCACAAACCCCACTGATCCTGCTTCCCACAATGCCATAGTGCTATTATAAAAACAAAAATTGTCCAGTCTCCAAGGGAGTTTAGATACCGTCTAGACAGTGGTCTTCCAAGTGTGACCCTCGACGGCCAGCAGCAGCAGCACCTGAGAATGGGACCTTGTTAGAAATGCAAATTCCCAGGCATTGAATCCGAATCTCTGGGGGTGGGGCCCAGCAGTCTGTGTTTCATCAGGCCATCCAGGGGATTCTGATGCACATTCAAGTTTGAGAGGCCCGGCACAGTGGCTCACCCTCACAATCCCAGCACTCTGGGAGGCCAAGGTGGGCAGATTGCTTGAGCTCAGGAGTTTGAGACTAAGTGGGCAGCATGGCAAAACCCCATCTCTATGAAAAAAAAAAAATAGCTGGGCTTGATGGCACATGCCTGTAGTCCTGGCTACTCAGGAGGCTGAGGTGGGAGGATTGCTTGAGCCAGGGAAGTCACACACAATGAGCGGGATTACGTCATTGCACTCTAGCCTGGGTGACAGAGTGCTACCCTATCTCAAAAGATTTGAGAACTGCTGCTACCAGCCAGCTGTTTTTACGGCTGAGAAAACTGAGGGCAGAGAGAGGAATGGCTTGCACGTGGTCACACAGAGTTTTCAACAGGACCTGAGAGAAAGTGAGACAATACCAGTTTTGATGACTACTCGGAATGCTTCCCCCAAAGAATAGTTTCACTCCCAGGCTGAGTCCATTCCTTCAAACGCATCTCTCCTGCACAGCTCAGGAGTTTGAGACTAAGTGGGCAGCGCTTAGTCTAAGAAGGTAGAACTCAGCCTTCTACCCACCTCAGTGTCTCGCAGTCTCACGTGATCTCAGCACTGACTTTGCCATCCACGACTTAATGGCCTAGAACATCCAAGACATGTGCCTCAGAAACTAACAAGTTATTAAACTGGGGAAAAGAAAAGAGAAGAAAAAAGTGTTGGTGAATAGTAGCCTTTGTCATCACAGCCTAATTTTTGTGGTTCTTATTTAGCATTTCCATGAGGAGCTTGCCCTCCAGATGGTAGTCAGCACTGGAATGGTGAGAGAAACAGTCTTCAAGTACGCCTGGTTTTTCTTTGAGCTTCTGGTAAGATTCTTGCATGTTTGTACCTATGCTCAATAGGCCAAGAGAAGCACACAGCAGAAAGGAATGAACTTTGTTCACTGAGTTGCCCCTACTAAAAACCGGGGGTTGTTTAATAATCTAATTTCTCACCCCTCCCCATCCTTCTTCCACTAAATAGCATCGCTTCTACCATAAAAATCTGTCTCCATCCTGCGAGTTCTCATCACCTTCGCCACTCCCCACGCGGCCACACGCCATCATCTCTCAGGTGCCTCTCACAATAACGTCCTTTTTCCTGCCTGTATCCATTTTTGCCCTTGGCACACCCATTCTGCACATGGCAGCCAATACTAAACAGATAATGTCACGCCCCTTTTAAAAACATCAGTGATTTCCACTGCCCTAAGGAGAAAGCACAAATTTTTATCATGGCCTAAAAAGCCCTTGTATGATTCTGTTGTTTACCTCCCTGTCTAACCTCATCTCCCACCACGTTCCCCCATCATTCAGCCATCATTCAGCCACATGGTCCTCTTTAGGTGCTTTGAAGACGCCAAGACCGTTTTGGCCTCACAGCCTTTTCCAGATTCTCCTCCTGCTCCCTCGCCTTCACCTCCTCACCCCCAACACACAGTTTCTGTTCTTCTCTGTAGGTTTCAGCTTTAGTGAAATCACCCCCAAGAGGCCTTTTCTGACCACCTTATACTGTAATACGTCTTCCTCTATAATTCTCCTTTGAGCACCCTATTTATTTCCTTTCTAGCACTTATCACAATTTCTAATAGTTTTTTCTGTCTCAACTATTAGATTTTTAGGATTTGGGTCTCTCTTGTATTATCTCATCTTTAACCTCAGCACACTGCTTGGTACCATGCAAGGTCCAACTAATATCTGTTGGAAAACAGAATGAAATTTGTATATCTGTTTACCTGAAAACTTCTACCATTATTCCAGCAGAAAAGCAAAAGGTATGGCCATAATACCTTAATTTTAAAATAAGGAGAATATTACTGATAACTTTTTTTTGTTTAATTATTAATAGAAGTAAAAGGATTTTACCATAAAGCCACTAAAAATAAACATTTTGTCAGTGTTGATCAATGGAGATTTATAGTGAGATGTTGAATGAAGAAGGTATAAAGACACAGATATCAACTATATAAAAATGTATATGCAAACAGTTTGGAGGATTTGGAGTAGGTTGAGATTTAGTGATAGTGTTAGCTTTATATTCACTGGGTTCTTTCCCCTGTCCCATTAAGTGAATCATATTTTTTTAAAAGAGAGTTTAGGCCAGGTGCAGTGGTTCATGCCTGTAATCCTAGCACTTGGGGAGGTTGAGGCAGGCAGGTCACTTGAGGTCAGGAGTTCAAGACCAGCCTGGCCAACATGACAAAATCCCATCTCTACTAAAAATACAAAAATTAGCCAGGCATGGTGGTGATGCCTGTAATCCTAGCTACTTGGGAGGCTGAGGCAGGAGAATCACTTAAACCCGGGAGGCAGAGGTTGCAGTGAGCCAAGATGGCACCGCTGCACTCCAGCCGGGGTGATAAGACTCCATCTCAAAAAAAAAAAAAAAAAAAAAAAAAAAAGAGATGGGAGGGTTTCCACCTAAGCTCTAGTTTTTACATGGAAGTGAAGCCTAAGAAAAAGGGAGAAATGCTGAACAGTAGGACATAGGACACAGAGAACAAAGGGCGAAGAAAACAAAAACAAAACATCCTCTAGGGAGGAAATAAGAAGCAATGTAGAGCAGAGTTCAAAAGAAGTCAGGCTCATGCTGCAGAAATGCATCCAGGATTCAAATCCCATCAAGTTTTGCAAAGTCCCAACCTCTAGCTTAAGAAGCGTCCCAAAGCATGGTCCCAAATCCTTGTCACAGAACCACCTGGAGGTGCTTAGTAAAAATAAAGCAGAAATTATTTTCAAAGCATTAAAATTAGGAGGTTGGAGGCCAGCATTCTGCATTTACCTGTCTTCTTAGGTGACTGCTAAGCCTGTTAATGATCCACTGGTCCACACCCCCTCCGTTCTTTGAGCCCTAAACAGAGCTACAGGTCTTTTGGAATTTGTACCCAGCCAGCACCAGATTTTTTTTTCATTCTAAAAGCCAAGCTGATTAACTTGGTGGCTGCAGCTCACAAGTCTTGGGGCAACAGCATTAGCAATGAGACATGAGCTCCGTGCTCTGGCAAGGAATAGACTGGGCCATAAAACCCATTCCCCTCTTGTTTCTTGAGGCATGAGAAGTATCAAAACCAACACTCCATCCCCTTTATATTTTGCTTTTATTTATACATCCTACCCACCATCAAGTCTCTCCATAAAGAAGATTCACTTAGCCTCGCTCTGCAAAAATGAAAAAATTAGCTGGATGTGGTAGCACATGCTTGTAGTCTCAGTTACTCAGGAGGCCGAGGCAAGAGCATCACTTGAGCCCAGGAATTCAAGGCTGCAGTGAGCCATGATCATGCCACTGTACTCCAGCCTGGGCAACAGATTAAGATCCTGTCTCTAAAAAAAAAAAATAGAAAAAGAAAAAAGAAGAAGATTCACTTGGGTCATAATCCAGCTATGAATAATTCATACAAATAATTCATTCCCAATGCAGCATTCAGTATTGCTAAGTCTGAGTGGTTCCATGTGACATCTTAGCGCTCTCTTTCCAAGGGAAGTTTGCATTCTCTGCAGGCATAATGATGACTCTGTTCTTCGTAGAATCCCATTAATAGTTGGCATCCCAATGGGAGAAAGAATAGTCACATCAAAAATGTACTGAGCATCTTACTATATATGTGCCAGGCAATGTTTTAAGTATTTTAAAGCATTATCTAATTTAATCCTCATGCAGTCTTGAGGCAGGAGGAACTTTTATTATCCCCAGTTTACGGATGGGGTTGAAGGAAGGGTGGTGGCCATAATCAGAGTCTCCAAGTCAGCCAAAGCCTTCAGCAGTACCACTTCACTGCCCTAACTGCTTTTGGCCTTGCACATTTATTTACTAGGGCTTAGTTGGCCCAGGAGAGAAACCATAAGATAAAGCACATGGCCCATCTTACCTGTAGGAGGTCCCTTATGGTAAATAGAGAAAATTTTTTTGGAAGAAAGGTCCTGCTAATCTAAGCACATTGCAGGATTTCGTCAACATGCAGATCAACCAAGACACCAGCTCTACCGGCAGCCTAAAACCTAAGTCTGTCAGGTCCTGGCAGGACAGAGTTTGCATTGCTCAGAAGGGTTAACTGAAAAGCACTGAACAAAAGGACTCTGCTCAGCATGTATGAGAGGTTCAGGGGCCAGTGAGGATTGGTAAGAGCCCCCAGGGTGCTGCAGCTGGCAGAAGCCTTTGTCTATGATAGCTCTAAAGAATCAAGAGTACAGCAGTATAACTGGGGCCTAGAAAAATCTGGAGGCAGATGAGACAGTCTTAGAAAAGGAGCCTGGAGCCTAAGAAAAGCATTGCCACTGCCAGGACACCACTGTGGCAGGGATGAGGGTAGCAGAAGTGAGTAAATGCCTGGGCCTCTCTGTTCTCCAAACCACTGATCTCCTTGCTGGTGCTGCTATTGGCCAACTCAACCGGAAGCCAAAGGTTAAGGGGGCCTGAGTGATGTGGTCCATCAAGACCCCCTTCCCAGAATTCAGAGACAGACAGAAAGGACAAGAAATCCATCAGGGAGCTGGGGGTAGAGGCAAATGGAAATCATCCTCCAGCCAGAACTTTGCAAGGAAATTGATCTGATTCAGACAAGGCACCCAATCCTCCATTCATTGTTTATGCATTTGCTTAACCAATGCCCAGGAAGTTATTTGAAAATCAAAAGAAAACAGTCCCCCACCCAACCAAGAAGCTGGAGAAAAATAGCTTCCTTGGCCTTAGCCAACAACCTGGGCAGTTTAACACCCTCCAGTCGTGTCAATGTCCAAGCGCTAATGAACAACCACTCTGGCATTAGAGCTGTTAGACACGATCCCTGGGCAAATTTCACACTTGCTAATGAATGAAATCCCTGTGCTTCTAGAAACTGCTGAGCCAGACCTTGGAGAAACGGAGATAAATGGGTGACCTAGTTTACTCGCTCAGGACATGAAGTTCCACATTAAGGGGTTCTTTAGAGGTACCCCTGCTTTGAATGGGCCATAAAGGCCCATGTAGGGGAAAAGATTTTCATGTCTCACCCCACTCTACAAATAATGGGCCAGGCCTCTACTAGTGTTTCTACTGGATGCCCTTCTCTGGAGATCTGGGGGACACAGTAGCTGGCGAGCTACTGACAGTCTGGAAAGAGGCCACTAGTTGGAAGTATGGTATTGTGAGAATTATTTGTTCGGTTGTAGGATGGCCAAACTCGGCACACAGGAGCCAAATGCAGCAGTGAGTTCTGAACGCCTGGGTGCAGGGGTGGTTAGCCAGCCCAGAATCAGGACTGGCTTTGCCCATAACAAAGAGGCCTTATCTTCTTAAGTCCTCTGTTAGAAGCATAGTGACAGAGAGGCTTTTTTCAGACAAAAATGGGGGTTCCAGTTCCCACCATTCATTGAGGTCCACTGGTCAGGTGCGTGCAGCCCTGTGGAATATGAACCCATTTGCGTGTCCTGGACCAAACAGGTTGCCGCCGTGAGGAGAAACCATGGTTCTCATACTGAGCTTTAGGGTTTGATGGCCTGAGGTCTTCCCTGAGCTGGCCATGGCATTATCTGAAAACATGAAACACATAAAGCCTGTGTCTCTGAATTTTTCTTCTCATTTTGCCTTCTCTTTGTTTTTTCTTTCTGTATGTTTCCATGCTAACAAAAATTGCTAGTACTGCATGCATCCTTAGAAACTGAATTCCACTGTTAGTGCCTTAACGTTCTCTCATGTAGCTCCTGGGAGTGGAAGTCAACTTCCAGTCCCAACACAGAGGGCAAATGTGAGTGCCTCAGCTTCCAGCGCTATTAGTATTATTATTTTGCAATGACTGTCTGACGAATTAGACTCATTCATGAAAATGACCTTAGAGTGTAGGGACCCAACTACAAGACCTCCTGCTCTTCCCCATGTTTCTATTAGCGTAAGCAACTTCCGACAAGGATAAGACTCAACCTCAGATGGTATCAAGGAAGCCTGTATTGACCTGTGAATCTCCTGGCCCCAAGGTGACGTCCAAAAAATAAGCATGATTTTGATTTAAAATTGTAGTCGGCATTAAGATAGCATTATCCTAGTCATAATGCAGAAAGTCACCAACTGATACACGGCTATCTTTATATACATACTGGATGTCTATCCATATAGATATCTATATCTGTATAGAGATACCTTTGTCCGTTGATGACTTGTCTGCATTATATATGTAGCTACAGTATATACCAGTTTGTGTCAAGACACCAATTTGTGTCAATTGGTGACTTGTATTGACACAGAGATATTTATATAGAGATGATAGACAGACAGACAGACAGATAGATCTGTATATAGAGATTTTTGTGTCAATTGGTGACTGTCTGCAGTATATATGTAAATATAAGTTAGACTCACAGAACTCAACATTTCCCCTAAAGGTGATATTTCCCCTAGAAGCAATGTTTTAAATAGTGGTTCTGTTTCCAGCTGCCCAAGAAAACCCTGCTCGATGTATAATATAGCTAAAATTTATAGGGGCAGAAAATAACTGTTGGAAACTATAGAACTATTTCTCGAAAAACGGTGCTCCCTCCAGAAACACTGAAACTCCAGATAGGAAGAATATTTCTCACTGTTCTCCTTACTTACTTTCAGGAACAGAAAAGACTTCGGTTTGCATCAAGAGCCTTGTGATAGCAGTCCCTCCTTACATCACGTGTTCTGTCCCATGTTACAGGACACCTCACTGGTTACGGGAGCCCAGCTCACGTCTGCCTTCCAGGATGTAGGCAGTTGAGACAGGGAGTCCTCTGACACTGTAGCTAAAGAATTAAGCTCCTGGCTTTGTCAGCAGCAAGAAGGGAGCCCCCTGACTTGGGGTCAAAAAGAGGACACCCTTCCCACCTCCCGCCACCATGGTAACCACTGGTGTGTGTGCAGCATTTTAGTCCACAGCTTGCTCGGGCACCAGTGCAGATAAAGTGTCAGGAACTCCATTGTTAGAGAGCACTGCTGTGAGTCTTTCCCCCTTTTCCACATTGTACAAGCAGGTCACCAGTCTCCATGTTGGCATTTCCCCCATGCCCCTCCATAGGTGAAAAGCATGGCCCAGTATGTACATAACATGGACAAACGGGACAGTGTTCGGAGGACTCGTTTTTCTGACCGTTTCATGGATGACATAACTACTATTGTTAATGTGGTCACCTCGGAGATTGCAGCCCTGTTAGTAAAACCGCAGAAGGTAACTGTATTTTACTCTATTTTCTAAATTGTTTACCTGGAACATATGTTACTTTCATAATCAGAGGAAAATAAGCATCATTTTAAAACAATTATTAAAATATAATTGTAATGACAGTTAAATGCAGCATGTTATACTGGACTGGACCCTGATGTGGGCTGGAAAATTGTTATAAAGAATGCACACATGAGGCCAGCAGTTCAAGACCTGCCTGGCCAACATGGTGACATGGTGAAACCCCGTCTCTACTAAAAATACAAAAATCAGCTGCGTATGGTTGTGCACATCTACAACTCCAGCAACTGGGAGGCAGAAGCAAGAGAATCACTTGAACTCGGGAGACAGAAGTTGCTGCAAGCCGAGATGGTGCCACAGCACTCCAGCTTGGGTGACAGAGTGAGATTCTATCTAAAAAAAAAAAAAAAAAAAAAATTGTGATATGGACTGTGGTTTAAATTATCATATCAGGATATCAGGCTGGGTGCGGTGGCTCACACCTGTAATCCTAGCACTTTGGGAGGCCGAGGAGGTAAGATAACTTAAGGTCAGGCATTTGAAATCAGCCTGGCCTACATGCTGAAACCTCATCTCTACTAAAAATACAAAAAAAAAAAAAATTAGCCAGGTGTGGTGGCTCATGCCTATAATCCCAACTACTCAGGAGGCTGAGGCAGGAAAATCACTTGAGCCCGGGAGGCGGAGGTTGCAGTGAACTGAGATGGTGCCACAGCACTCCAGCCTGGGCGACAGAGTGAGAGTCCCTCTAAAAAATAAATATCAATATATATATGAAAGATAATATTTTTGCTCTTAGGAAATATACCTTGAAATATTATGGGGTAAGTGGGTATGATATTTGCAACCCCTTCTCAATGGTTCAGAAAAAAAAATGTTTTTATATTCATAGACTGATAAAAAATGTAGCAAAATGTCAACTACTGATAAGCCTGGTTAAAGGGTATATGATAGTTCTTTGTACTATTCTTGCACCAAATTTGAAATTGTTTCAAAATAAAAGCTAAAATAATATATTAAATGAAATAAATCAAATTTTTAAAAGGTATCTACAAAATCTTAGGAAGCAATGTTTATTATTGATAGCTTTGTCATTACTGAGAATTTGCATAGTACCAAGTGCTCAGAAGATTTTCATTTGGTTATTCCTCAGCGCAAACTGTTGGAACAGCAATGGTAGGTGTGAGAATATTGGCAGATGTGAGAATAAGGCACAGTGATGTTGATACATTTTCTAAAAGTCACACAGCCAGCAGTAAAGCCAAGGCTGGAGATTTTAAACCCAGATATTGAGTCATGTCAGCTACCCAAGAGGAGTGGCCACGTGGAGGATATGGAGAGAGTTCGAGGACCTCTCAGCAACACTGTGGCAACCTCTTTATCAGATCCCCATCCATCCCGGTGACTTGACCGATGAGCATGGCCTGAATTTGCAAATTGCATCATAACAAAGAGCAAAATAGTTTCAAGCCATATTTTTAATGGTGTCAGAGGAAATTGATTCATCATTCTGAGAATAAAGGACATAAACATGAAAAACTGAATCCCAGATTGCTCTGAAGCACTGTAAAATCCCTCATAAATATGAGCACTGAGAAATAATACAAATTAAAAATTTGTTTAGATAGGCCTAGCTTATTAATTGGGGTTCATGGAGGAATTCACCCTATGAAAAATGACTCTGACCTCTCTTAGGCTGGAAATGCTGCCTGATTGGGGAAAAAAATTCTTAGGTTAAAAACTAATTCTTTTATCCTGATTGGATTTTCTGTAATAACTCTTAAAAATTAAGAAACTATCTCATTGAAGATAGTAAATATTTTTCAAGTCAGTTTGCAAAAAAAAAAAAGTAGTTACCAAAAAAATAGTTATCAGGATATCAAAAATTTAGGATTCAATGTAGTATATAGAGAATCAGCTTAATTATACATATATAAATGTGATTGTAGAAAAAGTGACTGGAAGGAAATGCACCTAAATATTAACAATACATGAATAATTACTTGATTCAACTTCACAGTCATGACTTTACTTAAAAGAGACTTAAATACTTTGCCCAGTGTCACCCAGAGGGACAGTGGCTGAAATAGTAGGACCTGTGTCTCCCAGCTTTCCCACCAGTGACCTGGGAGTTCAAATCCAGAGTGTACCACAAAATGATTTGAGCATTTGTTTGTTTTTAAGGAAAATGAACAGGCGGAAAAGATGAACATCAGCCTGGCTTTCTTCTTGTATGACCTTCTCTCCCTCATGGATCGGGGCTTTGTGTTTACCCTCATCAGACATTATTGCAACCAGGTGAGTGTCCCCTAGAGCGAGCCATTTTGTTCCTTCTCGTATAAGATGGCAATGTTCATTGCCATGGTATGCCATCTTATTTGTTACCGAGTTAGTGTGAACCCTGCACATCCCTGAGTTCTGCAGCATATCTGTCATGTCTGGGCCATGGACATTTCTCGGACATGCTGGTTTACCTTGATTCCTGGAGCATTTACCAACCCAATGTAGAAGGGTCAACAAGTTCATCTGTGGGAATTAAAATTTGTGATATGATCTGAATCTTCAATTTAACATTTAACAGAAAATTAACTTGGCTCTACAGTACGTTCAATCTTTGACTAGTCCTCGAGCTCCCAGTCTGAGGCCTCTTTTCACATATTAGGGTAATTAATTAATTAAATTGCTATTGTGATGTTCTGACTTGAAAGAACCCTTTAAAGTGGTCTTAAATAAAATCATTCAAAGAGATTTAATTTCACTGAGCACAAAGCAAATATTTCATAAGCCAGGTGCGTCTATCAGTGCCATCCCCCAGATTTTTGAGTGGAATTCTTCATGCACTGTTTACCTCAAACTACCCTAACAATAGTAATATAAATAGCACTTATTGTTGCTACTCCTCTCCTTCCATATTCCTACTCTAGTCACTAGTACCATCATTACTGCTACTACCACCACTAGCCACCAGCATGGTCATTACCTCCCATGCCCACTATCACCACCTCTTCCACAAACACCACCTCTCAACACCTCCACCACCTCCACCATAACCACCTTCCACCACCTCCACCACCACCACCACCTCCATCACCACCTCCACCATCACCACCTCCCCCATCATCACCACCTCCTCCATCAGCACCACCTCCACCATCACCACCACCTCTACCATCACC